GACATCGCATTTTACATTTGAAGTGATGAAAGGAAATAGTTTTCTAACGAGAATGGCAACCCCCCGCAAATTAGAGCTAACTTTGTGTCAAGGAGTGCAGATGTGTCTCCCGTAGAAAGACAATATCGGGTTTGAAAGTCGACAGATGAGTGAATATCCTTTTACGTTTTTTAAAAATTATTTAGACCGTTCACATTCCGTGTAATAAATTTAGTAGAATGAGGTGTAGTTGCAGCATTTTTGGTTGCATACTTAGCCATATTCACACTTGCAAAACAATCATGACAAGCAAGCCGCACAATAATTTGGGATAAGTATACACACAAAACTGCAGCCAACAAGAGGAAAAAAAAAAGTAAAAGTAAAAACCCAGAGTAACTACAAACGTAACTCCCACAAACCGGGAGCAAGCTACACCCTCCCCCCCAAAAGAGCTTATATCCAACATGTCTCTTCACTCTTTAAAACAGAAGTTGCCCCTAACAGGGAACGCCAGCTATAACATAATGTTTAGATATCTGGCAGATTGGAAAGGCACACGTGACTTCTCTTGGTCGTTAACTTTGCTCAATGATAAACAATTATATGAAGACCTTGTTGGGAAGCATTCATGTAACAAAGTGTTTTGCAGGTTACCTCTGTGGTGGCCATCTTGTTTTCCCAGTAAAGAGGAAGCCTGCCTCAATTGCAGCTCTTTTATAGGCCAGTCTGTATTAAGAAGGCGTGTCTTTAGAGTATTTAAAGGGAGCAGGAAATGGATTGGGAGCCATTTTGAGAAGTTGTTGTCTGCATGTGCATGATGTTGGCAAGAGACAATAAAACAATTACTTTAATTATGATAGAGTGAAGTCTGATGTTTCCTTCACCGCCCCTCACTGCGTAACAGACCTATTAAATTATAAAAGCAGCAAAAGTACAAACCTCTACCTAAAGTGCAGTCAGAGTCAAAGAGCAATTGAGGTAGCACAGTCTACTCAACCCGTATCTTGACTCCCACACACAGCCAAGATGTGATTCTTGACGTAGTCTTTAACTGCAGCTGGATTGGTGAATATTTCCTCTCCAAGAGGAGAAGAAATCCTTAACTTCGCTGGGTACAGCATCCTGAATCTCACACCCCGACATCAGCACAGTAGATCTTTAGCTTCTTTAAAGGCCCCTGTCTCTTCGCGACTGGAGATGGCAGGTTCGGGATAATTAAGATTTTGTCTTTATTATGGGTCAGGGGACTGTTTAGCGCGGCCCTGCGAAGCAGCTCCTCCTTTTTTTGAAAGTAGTGAAATTTGACAATAAGTGGCCTGGGTCTCTCGCAGGGACGGGCTGTAGGCTGCAATATGCCCAATCCAGTGTCGGAGCGGTATCCAGGCCCAAAACCTCCTTTAGTAGCTGGGCCACAGAGTTGACAGGGCACGTCCCAGTCTCAAAGTGCTCCCTCACGCCAAGTATTCGAATGTTGCATCTGCGCTGTCTCCCCTCAAGGTCTTTGGTCTTGTTCAAAAGAGCTGAAACAATTTCTTTCAGATCGTTAACTTGCTTCTCCAAGTCTACACTCAGTTTGCACTTCATCTATTTGGTCAGAAACATTGCTGCGAAGCGAATCAATCAGGTCATTGAGAGCTCGGCACTTGGTCTAAACTTTTGCTTCCAGCATAGAAATTTTGGCAACTACCTTTTTCTCCGAGCTAGCTATGGCAGCCATTAGCGCGGGACGTAGGATTGCTATCAGTGGCCTTGGCCCCATCAGTCTTTCTGGTATTTTTAGACCCTGACATTGTTGCAAAGTTCTCAGCTGACGACAGATAACATGTTAGTGCCGAATGTCACAGAATTTGTATGAAAAAAAAAAAAAAGCGTATCCCCGCAGAGCAACTCAGCCACGCGTCTTTACATGTCACTGCTCCTACGTCACCCCCCTGATTCCAGGTCTTTCTGTAGCTCTCCACAAGTGGTTATTGGTTCTTTGACAACTCTCATACAAAACACAGGCATTATCATTTTGTGTACACAAAAAGGTAGAGGGTGGTTAAGAATGACAGAGCTAAGATCCTTTGGGATGTCCACGCTAAACTCAATGGTGTCAGTTAATTAAAATATAGAGCAGAGAACTGGCAAATTATAGTATAAGTACATTTTTAGTGTGAAATAACATGACTTTTAACTTTATGAATTGTTCATAAATCTACCTATTACCAATGTAAACTTTTGTTATCTTTTTAGGCTCAATCACATTCACCAGTTTAACTTCAAATGTACACTTGTTAAAGCCACACAAGCTATTAATTTGTCACAAATAAAGTATAGAGAGTAAATCGACTTAAAACTTTTAACACAAATTTTCTAAAACTGACCCATTCAGAGTTGATATCAAAGCACCAGGGTGCTGTCATTTTAAATGCTTGTGCACAGCAGTAGTGATGCCATGGAAGCAAAGCTCCACTTTGCACAGTCTGCATTTAACTTTGTTTTCTTTGAAATGCTTTCAGAATTTGTAAAATATCCCTTTCCATTTTCTTCCGCCCTCTTGTTTTGCCGTTCACACTATGATCTTCGAGTATTGAGTGCAGCCTTGGCAGATAATAGAGGTGATCCGTTTAGCAATAGATATACAGCTCGATCTCCTCTGTATCGCATTCAAATTACGTCACAGGACTTTTGGGCCACGTTGCTATAAACCCACCTACATTGAGGTTGTACGTAATTTTAATCAGAGTCAGAATCACAATCAGCATAGATTGTTAACCCCTAAGGAAATTATGTGGAAATTAAAGGAAAATGACAAATCTCAGTACAGTCAAATCAAGTCGAGCAGAATGGAAAAGAGGTATATCTATCAAAAGTGGTCCAAGGAAGGAACAGGCTCGTTCACCAGGCTGGCCAAGGTTCATTCACATTGTTACATGTGGGGAGTAAACGCTGTAGTCTAGTCCAACAGCTTGAACTACTCACACCTTGCCTCAGGTGACCTCAATAGGTCTTATGATGGCTTGTAACAAGGCTTGTAACAAGGACTCAGTGGTTTCACACCTGAACTCTCAGTAATGGTAATGACCCACACCTTATTCACACCTTGGCTCATGTGATGAATCACATGATCAATAGTTGCAGATTTCTGTCAGAATCTGCAGATTATACAGTACAAATAAAATGTTCACGTTTCTCCAACGTTGTCTTTCCAGCAGTTTCACTGACATCTACACGGGATGGCCAGGAAGCGTTCGCGATGTCTTCTCGGGCGCTTCTCTGGCGCTGATAATTGGCGTCTGTCTTGTGTCGGTCACGTAAAAGACGGATTTAATGCGACATGACCGTTCAAACAGCAGTCGCTTTCTAAAACATCGGATATGTATCGGATTCAGTACCACATACGAAAGTGACCCAGATCGGATTTGAAAATAACGGATTTGCGCCGTTCACACTGTCATACCATGATCGGATATGGGTCGCATATGGTCAAAAAAGTCTGATTTGATGCGCTTTCGCCTGCAGTGTGAACGTAGCCTTAGACTACTTTGGCATGCAGACTCCAGCAGCCAGGGATCAGACCAGGGACCCTAACCCTGCTCCACCATCTACCCAAATACAGAGGCAAAAAGCTCCTGGAAATTGGTAACTTTTTGCCCTGTTAATTGCTCTGCAACCAAAGCCTACTCTCAGACTTCAGATCCATGGAGCACACAGATGCTTCAAAGGCTTCAGTTAGCTCCACTCTCCAGAAAATGCAGATAGATAGTAATTCCATGTTATGGTGTAGATTGTAGATTGTTTCTGTGATGGTCACAGTAGGTATTGTCTATAATGCTACATTTACTTCCTTCATTTAGTAACCTTCAGAGGATACTTAACATAGTCTTGGTAGTTGGCCACTTAGCCAGATTAGCCATGATCCTATTGCTTAGGTCAGCTCCTCTCACACTCAATACAGTCAACACATCTGTTGCTCTTGGGGCTTGGTACCCAATATTAAAAGACCGGGATGATGATATCTCCCCCTGACCTGACATCCTGGCTCTCCCTTTGTGTTGTACCTCGTCAATCTCCTTCTAGATGTTGGAGCACTGAGCTACTAGTTGTTTCTGCATTAGTCCAGATGTTCAGTGTCAAATACTCCATAGGTCTCACATCGTCTTCATGTAACCACTTCCATTGGAGTTACATGTGTAGTATCATTCCAACAGTGCCCTATTCTCATTATGTTCTTTTATGCCTTTTTGATCCAGTAGTCCACTTTTTGTCATTGTGTCCTGGTCCGGCTATCTTTTATTGCACAATATCTTCATATTCCATGTTCCATATTCATTACTTCTAGCGGGGACTATTTTAATTAATTATTATCAGGGTGTTCTAAAAGCTGCAGTTAGAGTATTAACAATAATGCGAAAATAACTAAACAGCCAATTTGTGCAGATTTTATATCTGAAAAAGCACGGTAGGTTACTGTGTTACCCAACTCACGCTGTATTGACTTCTTTGTTTATTTTAGTTAAAACAATACACTTCAGTAACAAGAACGTTACAACACTAGACAATTTTATACAACCATATAGTGTTTTAAAACCATAATTCAAACTGTTATGCAATAATTCTCATTTGCCATGACTAAAAGCATGACACGCAATATAATTTTCAAAGAAAACTCACCTGTCTCTTCATCTATGGCAAATCTTCCAAGCCCACTCCCATCTCGAATGGAGTACTGAACTTCTCCATCTCTGCCAGCATCATCATCATTAGCTGTGACCTGGAGTAGAGTGGTTCCAATCCGGGCATTTTCTTTAACTAATCCAGTCAAAGCAAAATCCGAAAAGTATGGGGCATAGAGGTTTTCATTCACATCTACAACCTCCACCTCCACAAAGGTAACAGAAAGAAGAGAAACAGGCCTTCCTTTGTCTTTGGCCTTTACAGTAAGGTTGTAGAACTGCTGTGTCTCATAGTCCAGCTCCTTTGTGAGTCGAATAACTCCATTTGCCCTGTCTACTTCAAACCATCCATTATAATCACTGGCTAGGGAGTACCGAACCTGGCCTCCCAACCCCAAATCTGGATCCAGAGTTTCTAACCAGGCTACAACTGTTCCTACTGGGAGATCCTCCAGAACCCTGGTTCTGTACACAGCAGGGATAAACAGTGGAGGACAGTCATTTACATCCTCCAAAATGATTTTCAGTGTGGTCACAGAAAACTTCTGGCTTCCTTTCTCCGCTTTGTCCCGAGCCTCAATTTTTAGGTTAAACGTAGAGACAAACTCCCTGTCTAGTTGGCCAGCAACATATAATATCCCACTAGTGGAATTGATACCAAACTGAGTGGTGCTTGTCAAAAGAGAGTATGCAATCTCGCCATTGGGCCCAAGATCTTTGTCAATGGCCTCAACCTGGATGACGTCAGTACCTATGGCTAGGTTTTCAGGTATGACAATTCTAAAGCCTCCTTCTTGCAAAAATTGGGGTGCATTATCATTTGCATCTTCTATATAGACAGTAAGCAACCGCCAGGAACTTTTCTGTGGAAGGCCAAGGTCATAGAGAGTTAAGTTGAGGAGATAGCGATCTCTTTTTTCTCTGTCCATGTGTAGGAACACACTGATAAGTCCCGTCTGTATGTCAATGGTAAAACAGTTATCAATATTTCCATCTGAAATAGAGTATAGAATTTGACCATTGAAACCTGTGTCCCCATCATAGGCATTCACATTGAAAACACTTGAGCCTACCTTAAGGTCTTCCTGCACAGTAATATCTGTGGGAAATGTTTTGTCAAACTGGGGTGTCTGCCGATTCACAGAAAAAAGGTCAATAAAACCTTCCTCAATTTTAGGTTTATTGCTAGCTTTGGACTTTTTCAGTAACTTTTCAGCTAATTTTTGAGCCACATTTGTTTCTTTACATGTGAAATGTTTGGAAGAAGATTTTCCATAAACAACTGAGATATTGACAAACATAGGATCCGAAAAGCTCTCACCATCAGTGGCAGTTATTTTTAAACTAAATAAACCACTCTTTGGATGGGCTCTTGAGAGAGAATGCTGCAGTGCAAGAACCCCTGAATCTGGGTTGAGGTCAAAGTACCCCTGTTCGTTACCTGAAATGATCTTATATTTCACTAACTCTAATTCATCTATATCAATTGCAGACATTGTAGTAATAACTTCATTTACTGGAAAATCCTCAGGAATAATCCCCTGGCATGCTACCTTCTCAAACAATGGCTGATTATCATTTACATTTTCTAGATGGATTGTTACATTGACTTCACTTTCTCGTCTGTAAGGAGACCCCCAGTCAGATGCTCTGACTATGAACATAAAGCTTTCTGATGAGGATTCAAAATCCAGCTCTTCAGTAGTGCTTATAACACCAGAAAACTGATTGATTTTAAAGGGTAATGGCTGAAGACTGGAAATGCTGTAAGTTATGTATCCATTTTCACTTTTATCTTTATCAGCTGCAGAAATTGTTAATACACTGGTTGCAACTGGAACACTTTCATTAACAAAAACCTCATAAGAGGACTGAGCAAATGTTGGTGTGTGATCATTGGCATCCTCAACGGTTACCCTCACTTTAACTTTGAGATTGCTATCCATTTCCATTACTTCAAGATTAAAGACATCCTGGAACACCTGAGTGAACCAGCGAGCAGTAGAGATTACACCCGTTAGGGTATTCATTTGAAAAAAGGATGAATCCGCAGAGGTTGTTAAGATATATTCTGCATCATCAGGTTCTGGTGTGATTTTAACAGCCACTACAAGTGTACCTGGAGGTGAAATTTCATTTAAACTGACATCATACAACTCTTGCATAAATTTAGCATCTGAATTTTGATGTTTTTCGACCTTGATTTGGATGACTTCAACAGCAGATAACTTCTGCGGGGTGCCCCTGTCTTTAGCCTGCAAGCTAAGATTGCAGCCATAAGGGTATGTTTGACTTATTGACTCAAAGGCTTTAATAGCAAACTCTCCTTCTTTAGTTCTGTCAACAAAAAACTGCTCTGAGGGATCTCCTCCTACAATGACCAAGGAATCTATTTCTCCATTTAAGCCTTCATCTTGGTCCTCAACAGTAACCACTGCATACACAAGATTTTTATCCAGCCATGAGGGGCTGTGGGTGAGGACATTCATGACTGGAGCATGTTCATTTAAACGCTCTACATGGACAAAAAGTTTGGCTGTGCTGCTGATACCATTATTTCCATAAAGCTTCATGCCACGGTCCACCGCTAGAATTTCTAAGTCATAACGGTTCTGCTCATCGACATTAAGCCTTCCACTGAGAGTAACCACTCCACTAGTTGGGTGTACAGCAAACAGTTCAGTTTTTTCCTTGAAAAAATAGTAAAACTCTCCATTGGAACCGATATCCGCATCTGTGGCAGTAACTTGTGCTATACTAGTTCTGAGAGGGGTGCTCTCTGCTATGGTGACGGAGTATGTGGTAGGAGAGAACAAGGGCCGGAGGTCATTCATATCCAAAACCTGAATACTGACTTTAGTCCAGGTCTCAAGAAGAGCCTCTCCCTTGACAGAAGCTTTCACTGTCAATACATAATTATCCTGAATCTCTCGGTTCAATATGGCGGCATTACCACCTTTAGTCCTTATGCGTAAGAAACAGAAGTCTCCGAGTACGTACTCCTCTGCCTTGAAAAAACCGTCATCGTCACCTGAGGTGATTCTGTAGCGGATCTCCCAGGAGTGCTGGGCGAGGTGGATGCCCATTTTAATTTTACTGTTGGCATAGGTGCGTGCTGCTGAGTTTTCATAAATTGTGGCATGGTAGACAGGCTGAGTGAAGCTGAAGTGAGATTCATCTTGAGGAGCCCCATGGGTGTTCTGACCGTTGCAGAGTGGTGACTTCAAGAATACCAACAGCAGCAGCAAGGCCTGGCGGAGATGAGGGGCTCGAATGCCTTCCCACTGGCTCATATTCATATCCATTCCATCATAACTCCATGCTGAAGCAGTCTAGAAAAAGAAAGGCAGAGACATAGAGAGAAACGTCAGCAACAGGAGGGGGGATTCTTTTCATTCACAGTCTCTGCCAATTAACCATAGTTAATAGCCATAGTTAACCATTAGAGGAGTAGAGATGGTGAAAGAGATGACCCAGCTGAGTGCAGTTACTTGGCAGCCATAATGAAACTTACATCATCCTTGTGCAGTATGTGGATACCGACAATCAACTGCTACTTTTAGAGAAAAAAAAAGCTGTGGTTGTTTGTCAAGGAACAAAACAATTATATGGTTAGGAAGAATTGTATCATCATCAACATACTATAGAACATAACTGCAGAGACAAATTGCTACTATACTTTGACCCTATCATAACCCATTTTCTAAATTACTTTAAAATTGCAGTACTATATTTCAAAACCATGTAATATTACCAAAAGTAAGCCAGATGTGGTTTCAAATGCAAAGAAGCTACTTTTTTCAATGTGTTCTCTCTTTTATTAAAAAAAGAAAATACTGTGTTCTGTAAGTAAGCAGCCACAAGTATGTGCCAATCTGCACTTTTGGCCTGAAACCTGTTCCAGTAAAAGCCATGCTGTAGCTGTAAGACTACCACAATAGTCTGCATTTTGGTGACTAAGCACTTTCTCCACAAGGGATGTGGAGATGGAGTGGGAAAGGCAGATGGTTTCCGAGTCTTCTGAAAGAGTATTTGCTTTCTGTTGAAAGTAAACCTTGGCAACAGTGCCCCCAAATTGAAACAATACAAATTGAAACCTGAGCGTGCATTTAAATAAAATTCAGTAGTCATTCGTGAGTGAAAAATGTGACTATAATCCTAAGAGAAATGCAGAAAATATCACTTTTTCTTCTTTTTCTCTGACATTATTAAACTGTCAACTGAGGCACACTAATTGTGCCTCAGTACTGAAATAACCCTTCCAATCTGTTTTTGTTCACTTTTGGCAGAGTCACTACGTATCTTAGCTAATACAGTAATAATACATACAAATGGTTGTTTTTCCCTATTTGTACTTGGAGTAGAAACAATTTAAGGGATTCTGTCATTGCAACATCTGAAATACTATTACCATTAATTTTATTTATATAGTACCAGTTCACAATTTTAGGTTTATTGCTGTCTTTCCTGAAAGGCATGGTTCTGCCAAAATTTATAGCAGACAGCTGCCGCTAGCAAAATGAGCAATGGCAAATGACAAAGCAGTGGAAGCTGAAAAATTGCTAGAAGTGTAGCTAACAGAGGTATAACGGACTGAAAAAAGATGAGTGAAGAAGAAACCCTCATTCTGCATTTATTGATTAGTTATTATTAATCGCTGGCTATCTTCTACAGCCTGTTTTTGTCCTGTCTTCCAGCCTGGTTTATCTGGACGTTTTTTCTGTTAGAAGGAAGAAACCTTGCCACCGTCGCCAAAATACTTGCTCATGATTGTTAGGGTTTTCTCTGTTTTCTTTGTATTACTGTAATGTCTTTACCTTACAACATAAAGCACCTTGATGCACACAGTTATATCATAAATTAACTGTGATGTATCACATCTTTGGAAAGCTGAGTACAATTTCTCTAGCCACACCCAGGCCTGATTATTGCCACACCTGTTCTCAATCAAGAAATACCGTAAATAAGACCTGCCTGACAAAGTGGAGTAGACCAAAAGGTTCTCAAAAGCCAGACATCATGCTGTGATCCAAGAAATTCATGAACAAATGAGAAACAAAATAATTGAGATCTCTCAGTGTGGAAAATGTTATAAAGCCATTTCTAAAGCTGAGGGACTCCAGCAGACCACAGTGAGAGCTATTATCCACAAATGGTGAAAACACGGAACAGTGGTGAAACTTCCCAGGAGTGGCCAGCTGACCAAATTTACTTTTGGTCCAAGAGGTCACAAAAGACCACAGAACAACAACCAAAGAACTGCAGGCCTCACCTACCTTAGGGTTCATGATTCCACCATAAGAAAGAGACTGGGCAAAAATGGCATGCATGGCAGAGTTCCAAGACGAAAACCACTGCTGAGCAAAAAGAACATAGAGGCTCCTCTCAGTTTTGCCAGAAAACATCTTGATGAACCCCTAAAGTCTTTTGGGAAAATACTATGTGGACTGATAAGACAAAAGTTGAACTTTTTAGAAGGTGTGTGTTCCATAATATTTGGCGTAAAATAACACAGCTCTCAGAAAGCGATCATTATTTCAACAGTAAAATACATGTGATGGTCCGGGGCCGTTTTGCTGCCTCAGGACCTAGACGACTTGCTGTGGTAAATAGTACCATGAATTCTGCTGTCTATCAAAACATCCTGAAAGAGAATGTCTGCCCATCTGTTTATGACCCCAAGCTGAAGCACAATTGGGTTCTGCAGACGAACAACAATCCAAAACACACCAGCAAGTACACCTCTGAATGGATTAAGAGAAACAAAACAAAAACTTTGCAGTAGCCTAGTCAAAGTCCTGACCTGAATCCAACTGAGATGCCCTGGCATGACCTTAAAAAGACAGTTCATGCTTAAAAAACCCTCCAATGTAGCTGGGTGCAGCTCCTTTGCAGAGTGAGCTGCAGATGGGCAGTTGGAGCACGAGCTCTGTAGCAAAAGTTTAACCCTTGCATGTTACGAGTTCTGTATTCTGATAATTATAATATATACTATATTATGCCTATATTAATTCAAATGCTGCAAATATCCCTCTGTAAGAATTGGGAACCTCAACATGCCAGTTTTGTCTAATTTAAAGAAGTAAGAAAAAACTTTAGTACCTTTTTTCATTCAACAGTACACAACATTAAGCATTAAGCTTAATATTAGACTCCATCTGCTGAAAAATGTAAACAGTTGACAGTTCTGAGCTGTATTTGATATTATTTTGTCATTGTTGGACAGATGTGGTTTCTGAGGATATAAAAGTTTCAAAATGATAATTA